TCCATTTTTGAATGATATTCAGTACAAACACCTGCAAATAGTATATATGTGAGTTTGTAACCCGAGGTAAATTTTTCCTGCCGAAGCTGGTCGTAACCCGAAATGTTCATTAGTAGAGGCGTTCATAACCCGAGGTACCACTGTACGTTGTTACTTCTGGCTACCCTTTATTGACTTTCTACTGATACCAGGATTGAAAAGATGTTTATGGATTTGTTTATAGATAAGAAATGGGATGAAGAGATAAATGTTTGTAACTTTAGAGAGGGTGAACTTGTTTATACTTGTGATGAAGGTTGAAAGTAACTTCTTTATATATTTATTTTCTCTTTATTATATTCTTTTCTCTTCTCTTTTCTTCTCTCTTTTTCCTTGGACTTTTTACTCCTCTCTATTATCTTTCTTTAAGTTTAGTTTGTATTAGATTTTACTATTACAATAAAAATTCTTAATAAAAATTAAGAATTTTTATTATTAAAAAATTATTACACAGACACGCACACACAATATAAAGGGAGATTTAATTCTGCTTGTGAAGCAAAAAGTCACATTTTGGTAGAAAGATTCGGTAAAGATTAAACAGGGCTTCTAACATTGCTTCTAAACAGGGCTTCGGCATTGTTCAGTATTGCTGAAACATTATTTGTTCATAGAAATTTGTAATAGTTAACATAGGAACAAGAATACCGCCACCACTCTGAACTGTAGTTTCTACTTTATTTTTGTTAATGCACATCCCATGATAATTTTGCTTACTGCACCTGCATTTTAATATGTGCTGGAGCATTTTTCCGCCCACTCCTTTGGGATATCTCTAATTTGTTTTTTTATATGTAATTCTATAGGTCATTGTTCGAGGAGGAGGACACATCTTGCCTTATGACCAACCTGAAAGAGCCTTGGATATGATGGATAGATTTATCACAGGAAAAGGATGGAAGCGAAGTGGATATGGAAAATAAAACTTGAATGTTGAAATCCTTTGGAAAGTCTCCTCAAGAGATTGCATTGACCAATACACATCAGAGGAACTGATGTTTAGAAGTATTTTGAGGTGTTTTTTTTTCCCCTTTGAAAAATCTGTTTTGATCTGTAAATAAGCCATTCACCCAACTTGATTTTCTTCTCAAAATAAATGTCACACCTCTCTCTCTCCCTCCCTCCCTCGGCCTGATCAGCAGAATCCAAACTAGATGATCCTTAATGGCCATTTCCAACATTTCCATTCTATTTTGTGAAATGGTGTGCATGAGAACCAGCAGCATCCACGAAGGGAGGGTCAAAGTGATGCAAGCAGTGTTGTGACGCAAGCCCTACCCTTTTTCTACATGTATTATATCGCATGCAAGCTCCAAGGAATGCCTTGTGGCACATGGGAATCATGGATTTTAACAGCAATTGCCTTTTTTTTTTTTTGGCTTATCTCTAGATACTACAGTACAAATCAAAGTGAGCTGTGGATTTTTTGGTGGTTGTATTTTGCTTCAAATGTGAGTCCTTTATCTCCATGTGAATCTTAGTTGAGGGAATGATGGAGAAGTGTAAAAAAATAAATATTTTTTCTATTCTGCCTAGGGGACATGCAACAGAACCTGTAGAATAAATTTCCAGTACAAGCTGGGTTCAGATAAGAAATACTGCTTTCACGCTGAGATTGTTAAGCAGTTATTTTATTTAAGCATTTAGTGCAACTGTAAAGTTAAAAGCATATAAGCACATAATATGATTTTTAATTGAATGTTTTTATGAAAGCGGGGGCAATAGAATAAGAAAAAACTTTAAAAAACATTTATCAGCAAGTGAGTTGCACCAAACCCAATGGATTTTTCTTCCAATTAAGAATGACTGAATTACTAAAGTATAATCTTATGTAAACTTATTGGAAAGTATTTGTTACTGAACTATATAAGACCTACTTCTATATGAACAAGGATAGGATTGTGTTGCACGTGTTTCTCCCTGAACTAAGTGAAAGATGGTAGACTAGAACTAGAGAGATCCAAGATCAAATCCACCTTCAGAAGTGGCTAGACATTGCTCTGTCACCACCTCTCAGCACAACCTATACCACAAGCTGCTTGTAGCAGAAATTGGGGGAAAAGCTTTACATACATTGTTTTGAACTCATGGAGGGAAGGTTGGATATAAATCTAGCAAATAAATGAAAGATAATAAATATATGATCAGATGTCTACCTTCGTGTTTGTTTACATACCTTCCAGCAAATTAGTTTTGCAATTTCATCTTACCATTTAAAACTTGAATGCTACAATAAATATGAACAACTTTAGTAGGCTATATCCTTGACTAAATTGGACAGGCATAGTCTTTACACTGATCACTAGCAATTCACATTTCAGATTTAATTAAGTCAGCTAGGAGATTGACTCAGCCCTCATAATCCAGGCTGTTTTTCTGCATGAACCTTTTTTTCCTTAACAGAATTCTTTGATGGGGAAAGAGAAAAAGAAGATAAAAGAATTGGTGGGAAAGAACATACTAATTACAAGAGGAAACTAAAATTCTGTGAAGGAGGCAGGCCGATTATATTATAAAACTTGTCTGGAATCATGTTATTTAAGAAATTAACATGAAAATAGTGGTCTCAAATATGTAATTATTTGTACCGTTGGATTTAACTGTTGGTTTCAATAGTTATAATCATATTTAGCCATACTCACATTTTTGGAGCATATTGAACAATAACAATGAAAAAGCAGCATATAGCATTTTTTACTTCATCAAAATGTACATTTATGAGATGACAGGAATTTTATCTCAATTTTTTTCCATGTATGGATCGAATACTTCTGCCAGGCATCTGTTCAGCAGTCCAGAAAAAGGGCAGACAGTTTAAAATGCTATACAAACGTCCTTCCTTAATGGAAAATGGACTAAAAAGCATCTGAATGGGTGATATGTAACACCCAGGGAAACTCGGTTCATGCTAAATCATGTGTTCACTGTGGTTAGTTAAATAGAGAATAAAGTTGGGTTTATCCTGTAGCTAAACCCCATTATAGCTTAGTGAGATGTGTGAAACCAGTGATAAGAGGAGTAGTCATATATGGTTCTACCCTAGACTAAAAATGCTACAAACAGACCATGCTACCATCTGAAGTAAATAGTGAATCAGGACACATGTAAAATTCTGCAGAGAGAGAGAGAGAGAAATGTAAACCTTGGGTGGGTTGGCACCCTCCAAGTTGTACTTAAATATTTTTTATTGGCTATGTCCCCATAGCAACCAGTCTGGGAAAGAGTGAGCCTTATCCCCATTCCTAGCATCTAGCTCTAGTGTCCACAACATCAAATTCCAGTTGTGTCTTCTGGCCTGAGACAGGTGACTTCTATTTAAACTTCCAGGAAGAAATGGCTAGTGGAACCTGAGGAGTCAGCCCAAGTGGGAGTCCTGCCTTTGGGCACCGTAGCTGTCGTCTTCCTGCTCTTGTTACTGGCAGCCACCAACCCACTGCAAGTGACAGAATCCACAGAGAAGAGCATCAGCAGCCACTGCTGCCAGACTGTTGCTTCCACTCAACCTGTGCCCTATTACTAAGTTGGTTGCTTTGTATCCATTTGACCAGTGTTTTTCAAACCTGGCAACTCCCATGCTGGCTAGAGAATTCCGTGAGTTGAAGTCCACACATCTTAAAGTTGCCAGGTTTGAAAAACACTGCATTTGACCCCTTCTGAGAGAGGAAGTGAAACTTCCTCTTCCTTGCCATCAGCTCTTCTCTTTTCTGTGATTGCCCTTCTTTTGTTCAGCCTTCCAAAACAAGGCCACAAATGACACCTCTTCTGCCAGCATTGTATACAAAGGGAACAGAGTCTGCAGGAACTACTAAGTGGGAGGAGTGAAGCGGAGGACTGGCAGCATCAAAGCAACTTGTCATTAGTAGGATTTGGGAAACTAAATGACTGCAGGACAGAGGGGTACGCACTTGTTTCATCATGGGTACTTTTAGCTACCAAGAATCTGCAATATCTTAAATAGTTCGTGTTTTGGTTTTCTATTTTGATTCTGGCGGTTATATCTTTCCTCTCCTGTCAATTTTACCACTACTTTTACTCTGTAAGTGAAGCAGATATGGGGATTCTGAGCCATCTGTTTCTCTAAATTCAGGTCTTAAGTAGCTTCTGGTTCATTGTAAATAATGAACAAATGTAAAGAATACTCAAGTGTTCTGGCACACCATTATTTTTAATATATTCCACATTCTGGCATGAATTGTACAATCAGAGGCCTTGCTGAAGTACAGTAACTAAAGCAAAGGGAAGCCATTTCCTGAAATTCTTATGCTTGAGAATTTATGGAATGGAATGGAAACGCTCGTGTTCATTTGGCATTTCTATCACCATGCATAGCTCTTTTCCCCTTTGTAAGAAATTAAGCAAAACGTGGCATGCGTGAAGAATTTGTGGAATGGTTTGATAATTTACAAAACTGAACCACTGAACACTTCCCCACCAAGCAGAGCCTGTGTGTGTATGAGAGAGAGAGAAGAGGGTGCACATGATGAAAGCATCGTGCCATTGTGACACAAGCTCTGTCCCTTTTGTACATGTGTCATGATGTCTCACACACAAAATGTTGACCCTTCTTCAACATTGTTTGTGGTTCCCTAGAGGGCACTTGTCAGGGCATCCCCAGGAGGGCAAAAAAAATTAAGATGGTGGTTGCCCCTTTTTATGTGAGTTCTGTGCAAGATGCACATATTAAAGGGGCAGGGCATCGTTCGCATGGATGTGGCTGCCATTTTAACCCCCTTTTTTGACCCCGGGTTCCAGCCCACGCTTCAAGAAAACCCTTAAGAGATTTCACTTTTCTATGCAACCTCTTCATTCTCTTTCCAGTCTAGATAATTGTAAGAGACAAAGGAAACAGCTTACACTTTCTTCTGAATAAAAATGCAGCTGCTGCTGGGCAAAGCAAAAATATGGACGATATTTTCTTTCAAAGTAGAAATATGAGTGTTGGAAAGATGTTTTAATTATACCTGAAAATAATCTTTGATTTATGTAATACAGGTTTTGGTAGAATGCCAATAGATGAAAAGATCCAGCCATATCATATCCTACAATGGATTCTAAAAATGCATATATAACTTGGATCATATGTTCCTCCTTCTCTGTGAATATTACCTATTTCCACACATCTGTTAGGAATAACCACTGGGTGGCAGATGTTCTTAGTGTTTGTAAGTAAAGCAGAATGTAGAGTTGGAAATGAAACTACTTTTATAACATTCATTTTATATCGGGTTTTTTTTAAAGACAAACATGTATTCTTTCCAAAGGATGAATGTTGCAGCTTTATGTGGTCACAAGTGGATGTCAACCTGTTGAATAAGTTAACAAGGCTTTATTTTTAACCCTCCTGTGAAATTTCAGTGTGTTTGATTTACTTGTGGTTTATCTTTCATTGCATATGTTTATTGGTAGTGTATCTGTTTTTTTTTAGTGCCCTTGCTCAGCTTTTCACCTGATTATCCTGAAAATGGTTTCTAAGCAATAGGAAAAGGAAGGTTAGATACTATATAATTCTTGAAAACTAGTTGATGTGTAAGTATGTTTCTTCTAAGTAACATAAATTAAGGAATACTTTAATTTACACTAAGCCCCATCAGTGAAACAGAATTTTATATTACATTTCCTGGAGACAGGTGAAATGTTTAGAATTATAAGAAAGAGAAACATTGCATTTTCTACATTGTAGATTTATAAATAGCACAGCCAACTGCACTCAATTGCAACTGGAATTGTCCATATGACAGAAGGGGAAATTATTAAATCTATGAGAAATAATAATGTTAATTATATTTAATTTGATTTGATTTTTGGTTCTACCTGCCCCCACCGTAATCTGAAGAAGGATTCTCCCTTGCTGATGTATTGAAAGAGTCTGTTCTTCTTCTTTGTTTCTTATAAGTCCCAGAAATCCATGCCCATTTCTAATATGGTCACAAGGAGTCCAGTAGCACCTTTTCCCACTAACAAATTTCATTAAAAGGCATAAGCTTTGATGACCTGCAGTTCACAAAAACCTATACCTTTTAATAAACACTTTGGTCAAGAAAGGACTCCTGATTTTTGCCTCTGCAGACTAACTTGTCTCTCCTCCTACATCTGTCACTATGGTCTGATTTTGTTCCATTCCTTCTCCATCCTTGGCATGTTGCGCCAGAGTTGGTGCTGCATATAAATTATTAAATTTATATGCTGCCTGACTCCTTGTGACTCTGGGACACATATTGACCTTCCTAATTTGGGTACAGCACATTCGGTGCAGAGATAGCAGGAAATAAAAGTTCCCCCAAAGGTTTGTTTACAGCATATACTTAATATTCCTTTTTAATCTTTGAGAAAACATGTTTTAAAATGGTTTTCAGTTACCCTCATCAGACCCAGCTCAAGTTAGAAGCAGCTTATTTGTTACTACAAAGATCTTATATTGCTTCTCTTTAATAATGCCTGTCTTAAAAGAATGCATAATTAAATACATAAAACAACCATCAGGGGGTGCTCACATATCCTGACATTTTTTTGTCTTTGCTCTTTTCTCAGCCCAAAGTCAATTTTCTGATTGATACTCTTAGAACTTAATTTGGCAGCAAGTGTTGTCCATAACTTCCTACTGATGATGTTTGTTTTAAAGAAATGTTGGGTACTTTAAATAAAATCCAATTATTGCTAACCGTTTTTTACAACTTAAGCAAAGCATTCTTTGATACCGACTGTTAACACACGTGATCTATTGTAATTCAAGAAACACCATAGTTGCTTTCATTACAGGTTTGTTCTTTATAGATTCCATCTTTGTCTGTCAAGAAAACCCCCTATTTTTTTTTTAAATTCCTATAGAGATACTTGGAAGAACTTTTGGTGGTGGAACAAGGGTCACATTTCACTTAAGCCTTATACATGTAGAAACCAAGAATCCTGTAATCTGCAAGGGGTAAATGTTAGCTCTGCTGGCAATGGACTGAAATATCTTACTATATTTATGTATTTGTCTAAGAAGGTCTTTGATAAAATCTCTACTTTAGAAATTTTAGTTGCCAAGTCTCTTGAAATCCAAATCATGTCTACTCTTGAAAAGGATCTATGTCTTTCTGAAAAATAGGTATACTCCCCTCCTGTCTCCATATATCAACCAATCCTAAATTGTCCATCAAATCAAATCAAACTTTTGGTAGTTTACCTTGAGTAATTTTAATATTTTTCTCAGAAATCCTATCCAAATGGGTGGGCAACCACACCATTCTAATCCCCCAGTGAACACCAACTTTCATATGAAAAATCTGTTAATCTCTCCATAAATTGTTTATAGAAAGTCATTTTATCCTCATTTGGGGCATAAACTTCCAACACCATAATTGTAACCCCATGTAAGTTAACTTCTGCCCTAACAAATTGGCCATGTTCATCAGTTAATACAAGTTCTGGATTTAGTTGAGGGTTAATATACAAAACAAATCCA